ATGAAGAATAGGGATATTAATTACTAAGAAAGTACTGATACCACTTCCCTTCATATACTCTGTGCTCCCACCAAACTGGATTATTTGCCGTCCCTTGCACCCAATCCCACACTTGGCTATCTTTGCCTCTTCCCTCGCTTGGGTTTCTATGCCTGGAATGTACTCTCTCCTCTACTCCACCCCCTACTGTTGAACTCCTATGCCTTCTTCACAAGCTGCCTTCTCAAAGGTCACCTTGATTCTAGTCCAGGAATGGGGAACCTGCAGCCTCAAGGCTGCAGTGCAGCCCTTAGACTGAATCTAAACTTCACAGAACAAATCCTTTTATTAAAGGATTCAGTCAAAGGGCCACATGCGGCCTGGAGGCCACAGGTTCCCCACCCCTGCAGTCAATAATGAATGTTTTTTTACATTTGTATTTCAGGATACTTTGTTTTGTGCCTGTCATATATACTACAGAGTTTATACCATCCTTATATTTTGTGAATATCACTGTGTATGATATGAGAGCATGAAAGTTACAAAGGATCTTCAAAGTCCAATCCAATCTCTTTAGATGAGAAAACTGAAATCTCTGGGGTTTTTTTTTTCCTTAAATTTGAGAAACTGTAGTAACCAAGCCAGTTACATTGTTCAACTGGGACTTCGCTAATAAAAAAAACTCCGTAGAGACTAGCCCCCTGGATTCATCTATATGGGCTTACACTCTGAAAAATACACACTCAGCTCTTGATTATCCACCTTAATGAAGCAGACAGTGGTGCAGAGAACCTTAAACATCAAATAACTCTCAAGTCTTTTATGCTTGGCTTTCGATTACACAGAATATACTCCATAATCATAAAATGATTTTGCAGAAGATTTACTCTCTCATTTACACTTTACTTAAAACATTATTAAAATAAGTTTAGAGTGCCTGAGCATACACTGACTGAATAGTAGGCAGAAACTGACCTAGGATGAAAAATTAGTTGTGACTAATCCAGAAAGTAGAGAAATCAAGGTTGAAAGTGAAAAGAGAGAATTACAGAATATTTTCAAGAGAAATATTTTATCACAAGTGTAGTGAGCGCTAAAAACTATCCTAAGATACACTGTAAGTGGTTATTTATAAATAAAACGTGATGCAGTTGATGAAAATTTCCAGTTCACAGTTAACTATGATTAAAGACTGCTAGTTACTTATGTTCAAAGATGGCAAGGGAAGGAGGAGAGTAAAAGAATAGTTAGCAAATTAATTGACTGCATTTCTGTTTAGTCCTCTGCTGCCAAGACTATTTGTTTTAAAAGGACTTCTATTTATTATAGCCCTCACTAAAATAAAGTGTATTTTGGATTTTGAAATTGTGTTTGAATTTTACGAGCTTTTCATTTCTTTAAATATTCATGTTAGTGAATGGATTTGTGATCTCATTAATTTGGGAGTTCTCTCCAGCCATGCAGATCACAATCCATCACTGCCTACCCATCCAGAGTATTTCTTGCCCATGTCCTCTCCAAAGCTCACCACAGAGATCCATCTAAAAGTAGGAGAGGCCTTTGTTATGGACATTTTTTAAGTGGCACTAGGGAAGGCTCTTCTCTATCGACACATCTGGAGGAATGAGGTTTGTGGGGTGTTGGAAAAGATCCCTCAGAGTTGTAATTACCTGAGATTTAGGCATACAACTGGATCTCGAGAGGAGCAGGCTCCATCTCTGACTTACTCAGTGTAGGCATCTGGTTCTTAGGTGAGAGGAGGTAATAGCAAGAAAAGGAAGGGAATGGATAATCATACAAAAGGAGCACTCCACACCTAGCACCCAGGTTATGCCAGATCCTTGTCAGTCTTCCCAGCTTGATGAACCTAGGTGGTCCCAGGCAACAGGAAGCTCAATTCATTGGAAGAGGGTGCAGATATTTTAGAGAGAGGAAAAGGGCCTTGCTCAGATGTGTCTGATTGATCTCCAGACTTTGATGTCACAGTGCTAATGAGCCACATCGCATGACAAATTCAAATTTTTAGTATGGGAGATTCCTGACAGATTGCAAACAAGGGGTGCTAAATAAGAAAAGATATAGGTAGCTATGAAAGTGACAGCCTATACCAAGAAAGGGAAGACCTGAAAAAAGAGAGGGGTTTTTTTTGGATAACAGCACATGTCAATAGGAAGATTAGTTGAAAGAAATGGGAATGTTTAACCTAGGGAAGAGGAGAACAGGGAAAATATGGTAGTTATCCAATATTTGAAGGATAGTTACATGAATGAAGAATGATTCTTATTTTTCTTGGATCCAAAGAGCACCAATTGATAAAAGGGAGGCAGATTCTTGTTAAATGAAAGGGGAAACTATAACTATAAAAATGACCTAAAGAGAATTAGATTGTTTCATAAATAGTAATTTCCCTAGTAAATTCCCTAACACTGGAGGATTTCAAGTAGAAGCTGAACAGCCATTTGTTAGATTGTCATCAAAGGGATTCACCCTTGAAGTGAATTCATTTTTCGTTCTCTGTGTTAGGTATTATTGCCAACTAATGATCAACTAGATAGGAATCTAAAACATTTCTGAAATTATGTAAGTCATTGGGAAAATCTGACCCAAATTTGGATGGAAACCTAGTAGAGTATTTATGGAAAAGTATGGAGAAGAGCCACTCGGGACATGTAGCCATAGATGAGTTGCAACCTATATCACTGGAAGGAATACTTACATCAGAGAAGCAGTGTGGCATAGTGTGCTGGACTTTGAGGCAGGAGGACCTGGATTCTGATCCTGACACCAACACCTTCTAGCTTAGTGACCTTGGGCAAATCACTTAAAATTTCTGAACCTCAGTTTCCTCATCCATAAAATGAGGAGATTTGACTAGGGGAACTCTAAGGAGTCATTTGGCCTTAAACCTACAATCCTATGATCAGTAATGTCACAGAGATATTGAAGTATCAATGAAAAAAAATCATTTCATTTGCAAAATCTGATTTATGCCCAACTTTTCAAGAACAAATCTATAAAAGAAAGAAACAAGAAAGGAAGAAAAAAGGGTCATGGAAGCAATTTTTTAATGCACAGAAAAAGGCCAGAGGGCCAGATAAACAGGACAACTTTGAAAATTACATGCTGTATGTACATGTTTGTACAAAGAAAAATGAACTGTTTAGAGAGCTGAAGTTTCATATTAAAACCTTGTTTCCTCTTCTACTGTGACTATGAATATGCTCATTTTATTTGGTGTTTCCAAAGTTCTGAATAAAAGAAATTAAAACAAAATAAATAAATAATATTGAAATTGGGGGGGGGGAGAGATGGCTAGATATTGTATCCCCAGCACCTAGCACAGTGGTACTAGCACAGTAGTTAAGTGCTTAATAACATAAGCAAACACTTCCTACCCTCAAGAAGCTTAACATTCCAATGGAGGAAGACAACACAATGGGCAGGACGGCAAGTGAGGAGAAGAATGAATACAGGGAGAGGTTCTAGGCGTAAGTTATGTGAAATATGGCTAAGGTCCTACCTAAAATGGTGGTCCCTGGGAGGAACACATCTAGAAAGAGGTTTCTTCAGAGTGTCAAGGCAGCTGACAAAGAGAAATCTAGAGAAACAGTTGGAGGCATGAGTGAGGTAATCATAAATTAAGAGCAAGAAGAGACCGTAAAAGGGACTTATCCAGTCCAAAGCCCCCATTTTTTAAATGAGGAAACTGAGGCCTAAATACGTTAAGCAAATTGCCCAGGATCACACAGTTAATAAGCAATGGAACTAATATTTGAACCCAAATCCTCTGACTCCAAAATCAGCTCTTTTTTCCATGGCACTGATGGAGCCTCTCAAAGTATCTAACATATCAGCTACAACCTGATTGCTCTTTTTTGTGGTCATTCTCTTACAGACTTAGCATACAGGGGAGATGGTAATTTTGGTTTTTAATAGTCAATCAATTTTTATTTGTTGACAACTAAGTTAAGGCCAAGAGGCATCATGGTAGAGACCTGGTGTTGAAACCAGGAAGACCTGGGTTCAAGTCCTGTCTGTCTCTGACACATACTAGTACCATGACCAAGGGTAAGTCATTTAACCTAACTGTGCACCAAGCAACTTCTAAGATTATAAATTGTGGGATGCCAGTCTGTATCCAGTGAGAGTTCCCCACATTGATGAAATCATAAGTCGACCAAAAATAAGCAACCCACCCCTGACCCCAACACCATTGCTTTACTCTTACCTCCTCAAAAGTCCTGCTCTCCTGCCTCACAGTGGTATGGTAGATACTCCAAGGCTCTGCCATTGGAGCACAAGGTTCTACCAAGTTGGAAAATCTTCACAGAAGTCTGGTAGTGGTTGTAGACTATACCAGTTGTCAGAGGACCACCCAAGCTAAGTATGGAATAGTTCATCAAGAGAAGTCGGGTCACTAAGTAATGAATTGTTTTACCATTACAACTCATGAATATTACTGCTTCCACAAGTAACAATAAGATCTTATGTTTCATATTTCATGCTTTTTAAGGTGTTTTCAGATCCATTATCTCCCTTGATATCAGGTACAAAAGAAAAGGAAGATGTGTGGTCTGAAATTTGTAGAGAGAGCAGATACACACTTAAAGTTGGCTTAAGGACAGTAATGGAACAACATATAAACAAGTCTAAATTAATGTAGAAGAAAATTAAGTACAAAGTGCAGAGAGGGCACACAGTAACAGAGCCGTCAGGTGGTGTTAATGAGGTATGGCTAATCACAGGTGTGCTTACGCCTCACCTTAAGGCTAAGGCTAAGTGAAGCTTCCTGAAAATGGGACTCTTCAGAAGGAATGAAAAGGATACATCTTACTCTTAACTCATTCTGACTTACCATCATGAAAAATGACTCCCAAAGATGGACCCTTTTGGCAAGTGGAAAGAATGAGAGTTGCTTCCTCCGTGAACAGCTCTCCAGACTGGGGGACCTCTTGACTATTGAACAAAGCTTTGCAAAGAGGAACTGGGTTTATAAATAATGCATTTCCTTTGTCTTGCAGGAATTCTGGAGGCAGAGGTACAATCAGATCAGCTGTGAACAGCTTACATAGCAAATCTAATAGGTTTGTAAATTAGATTTTGTGTTCATTTGTTTTTGCTGTAAGGCAGCTATTAATCTGCTTCTCTTCTTTGCTGGCTGGTGCCCTTCTTACTTAGTGAACAGATCTGTTTTGTTTCATTTCTGCTTTCCATTTCCCTAATCACTTTTTTGGGGAGTGGGGGTGGGGAGAACCGTCAATGTAAGATCACTTACAAATGACCCATGGTCTGCATATTCCAAAGATGGGAAATATGGGAAGGCAGCAGTTATGTGGAGGAGATAAAAATCAGAATCATATTAGACAGCTTTGGATATCACGGATCAAAACTTGAATTTGCATGTTTACTATGAAACTTGAATCCCACAAAATTCCAGTACAGGTCACATATAAACTCTTCAGCAATATTGACAATTTATTGGAGAAAAAACACAATCACTCTCTGGTAAGGAGTTCAAACAAAGAGTTCAAGATGTTAGCTGAAACTACTTAAAACATTTGGGTATACAGAAAGCAATTAGTCTGAAGGAACATTGATTGTTTAATATGTATTCAATATTCCAATAGGGCTTTTCCTCACTTGGCCATAGTGGAATATTTGACCATATTAAGAGCTGCATGTGGGCTAATCCTGAGAAATGTGGGAGATTTCTGACAAGGTAATTTCTCTTGGAGAATCTCTTAGATCCACCCAAGATTAACTAATATTTCCTTTAAAAACATCCTCCTTTTACAAACTGCAAAGATGCCATTGTTTCTGACTTGTTTTGGTCATGTGGCAATTCCAAGGTCATTTGTTTTATTACAATGACCTTGACCGAAGAAGATACAGAAAGAAAAACAGCCCTCTGAAACGCTTGTATCTGAAGTCATTGCGCCGGCTCAGAAATCTGGAAAGTCTGGTTCATAGAACTGAGATCATCCAAGTAGCCATCACAAATGGCCCCTCATAGTTCTTTCCTCAGGATTCTAACAAAGCAGGCTTCTAAGCCTGGAGTATTTAAGGAGTTGGGGCTGGCTTTTTAAAGATTCTTATTACTCCTCTCTTATAGCAAGGTCATTGCGCCATGGTAGCATAGCAACCAAATTCAGAGCTACAGACTTGGGTTCTAATATGTGTCCTTATGCAAGGAAACTGTCCCAGACACACCTCCATTCTAAAGAAGATCCCTTCATCAGGGTTCTTAACTTTTTTTCTACCATGGACCTCTTTGGCAGTCTAGTGAAGTCAACAGACCCATTCTTAGAATGATATTTTTTAATATACAAAGTAAAATACATAGTATTACAAGGAAATACAATTATATTGAAATAAAGATATAGCTTCCTAAAACCTATCTATAGACCCTTTGGAGGAGGTGGGGTTCTAGGTACCCTAGGTTAATTAAGAACCGTTGCCTTAAGACCTCTTACATGTCACAGCACCACCCAAATTTATCCACCCATCTAATCAAACAGTAGCAAAAAACAACCATTCCTGTTGTGCCTTGTATGGAGTGGGGTGTAGGCATGCTTCCTGGTGAGGCAACCCAAAAAATCCTCTGTGTATGTGTCAAGCATTTTCTAAGGCATAAAGGCATTAGGGCTATTCACATGGATTCTGATAACCTGATGATAACGTCGGCCATTCTCTGTGGACTGCAGACTTGTCATGATAAAATATTGGAATGCTGCCATCTTTTATGCCACTTGATGTAAGCTGCAGTAAAACATGGGCATTAGACTTGTGGTCTCATAATATTGCTGATGCCCTGGGCCTACTGCCAATAAATGGGGTCCTGCCCAATTTTCATAGGTGTTCCTGTCAATAGAGTACATAGCCCTTCCACAGCCCTCCCAGGAAGGTTCCAAAAGGAGAGGCCCAAATTTTAGTCACCAATCTCCACAATCACCTTTGGAAGAACTACTGTGAAGTCAAGAAAAGAGCCAAGTCCATCGAGGGAAGAAGTAAAAACACAAAAGTGAATTTCTACTCAGCCCATCTGCAGAAAGCCAAGGAAAAGAACAGGGCTTAAACCTTATGGGGGAAAAAAGAATTTCACATTTTTGAACTTGGCTTGAAGCCTCAGAGTAAAGAGTTCTTTGATTTGGACTCTTGAAAGAATCTGGCTCCTCAAATCTGCTTAAAATTCTATGTATCCTCACCCCAGACAAAGGAACAGTTCTCTCCCGTGACCCAGATGCTTTCTATGTGCATCCTGCAGGATCTAGGTTGAATATCCTTTATATAAATATAACTCTAACCTAGTTTCTCAGAAACCCACTGGCACAGATCACAAGCCTATGAAGTTAAGAGAGTGCAGTAATACCTGGTGTTTGAGGAAGAAGGAGGAAAAAAGAAGCATTTAATGTACATATAACCGTATATCACCCCGTGGAAACAATTGACCCACTGTTGCCCCAAGGTCTGAAATCTATTGCCTTTGGCTATAATTCCAAAGCAATAGAATCATTGGTGTACATTTTTGTATTGTCGTTTGGTTTTGTTGTTGTGTTGTTTTTGTTGTTTTTAAACCATCCTATCAAGGCGAATCAGAATCATATGGTGGAAAGAGTGTTAGATTTGGGGTGAGAAGAATTGGGTGTGAACATGAGAATCTGCCCCTTATTGTCTGTAAGACCTTGGATAAATCATGTCACCTCTGTTCCTCAAATTTTTGCTCTGTAAAATGAAAGGGTTGGACCTCTAAGGTCTCTTCCAGCTCTAAATATATGGCACTGTGTTTCATTAAGATTAAAGTATCTGGCGTATGTATTTTGAACCACAGAGGTACCCAGCTCCACCCATGACTGCTAAATTTCACTGAGGATAAGGAAATAGGGGGTAAAAGGGACCTCTCTGTGACCACCTCATTGCCCACCACTAGACAGGGCAGCTTTACCGGCAAGGAATGTGCTTGGTCTGTACCTGAGGGAAAGCAAAGGGAGTGGGGGCAGGGAAGAGATAATGTGTATGTCATAAAAGACCCATAGGCTTCTATACTTCTAGCTAATCAAAGCAATTTTGCCTTTCTGAAGTTTACATTCATGCCAGAGCAAAAACAAAACTATTAGAGATGTCATCAGCATGCTAACAAATCCTGTCTCTCTTTTTCTGGTTTGTGGTCTGTTGGGTTTTTTTTCCTCCCCAGAGTCGAAGTTGTAATAAATGGCTCTTCATCTCCAGCTGTTGTTGACAGAAGTAATGAAAGTGCAAAGCACAACATTAAGCCAGCCCCAACCACGTGGAGACACAACCAGACCCTGTCTTTGAAGATCAGGTATTGGTAATTACCTATAGGATAAGAGACAGATTTGGCCCTCTTCAGCACAAGCTGGCAAATTGCCTCTCTTTATCATCGAAAGAAGTCAAGATAGAAATAGAATGTTTACCTCCTGCTGAGGCAGGCTTCATCTGTAAGTGATCAGGCAGAAATATAAATCTCTATAGCCTAGCAGCCCAGCAGGTGTATGGTATCGTAGGAGAGCCAGGAGGCAAAAGAGGCAAATGGGCTGTGAGAGAGGTTCAGGGTTCCACAGAAGTGAGTCACGGGGGGCAACATGGGAGGGGGAAGGAGAAAGCGTGTCCACTTAGCTTGGGATGTTGCCCTCTGGTTGGGAACACTAGGCAGGAGTGACCCCCAAGTTAGGTCAATCAAGGGGCTGCTGCCACTCTGATCACACAGGTCCATTTGGCCAGCCTGCTACCTTCTCCAATATATCCATATTGCCATCATGCTCAATTTCTGGTGTATAATGTTTTCATAGTTTTTAAGAAATCAAGAAGATTCACCAAATTTGGGGCTGAGGTGTGAATCACAGCTATAGAAAATCTGCTATTGGTTTAAACATAAATGTCTTTATAAAGGCAAATTCCCCATCTTAAACTCATCCTAGCCCATCATTGGATTACTCTGGATCTATCCATCCTTACCCATAAATGAAGTAGGCATTGCCTCTGTGGCATGTATACAGGATCACTGGACAAGCCTTGTACCTGCCTCTGAGTTCTCAATGAGAATCACAGGCCCTCCCCAAATCCTCCCTCTCCTACTGGCTGTTGCCTGAAATTCTACTCTTTAATTCTGGAGGTAAGTAGGTAGTGCAGCAGACAGAATGCTGGCCTTGGAGTCAGGAGGACTAGAGTTCAAATCCGATCTCAAGATGCTGTCTGTGTGACCCTGGGTAAGTCATTTAACAATTTCCTCATATGTAAAATGGGGATAATAATAGCACCTAACTTTGAGGGTTGTTGAAAGCACAAAATGAGCTATAAAAAAAGTAAAGTGTTATATAAATGTTAGCTATTATTATTATTATCCTTTAAGACTTTATGATACAGATTTCCCTTAGAGAGGGGCTTTATGTCTTTAGCAGTCATTTACTTGTTCATAAGAATAAGGAATCTAATCACAGGTTTTCAGGAGAAAGAAGGGTATGTGGACAAGAGATCAAGCCTAGTATTATTCAACTGTAAGCCCTTTGAGAGCTGGGTCAGTGTAGTATCTACCTTCATATTCCCAATACCTAGTATGGCACCTTGCATGTAATAGATTCTTAATAATTTAGTTAATTGAATTGGTGCTGTGGAAAGTAGAAGAGAGCAGCAAACATGGAATCTGGGGACCCTATAAAAAACTTTACCTAGGTCACAAATTTGTCTAGCAAGGGACCTGGGGTATGGCCATTGAACCAGAATTGAAACAGAAAATGTGATTATAGGAAGGTACAAGGGAAAAGTAGCAGTCCTGCCATCCAGACCTTGGATTTCAGGTTTCCAAGACAAAGAGATCTTGGATAGAAAGAGAAGAGAAAATTCTAGAAATACAGGATATGTAGAACGGGAGCAGAAGCAGAAATGAGCAGCCAAAAAAATCATCTGAAGAAGTAGATTTCACTCTCTACCACCTACCTTCCCTTTCAACAATTCTTCCTGCAAGGTCCCTGGTTCTGCACTCCCCAGCTATGGCTTCCTGACAGCTGCAAGCCCATATTACTAATCCCTTTAATAAGAGGCACTGTGTTGTCATTAAGACCAACTGTGAGTGAAATTGTACCTCCTCTTGCCAGCTCAGCCTCATCTGGGTTTCCTCCTTTTATTCCCCTTTATCAACTGCCAAAAAAAAAAATCTGATCACTTCACTGAAGGCACAAAGCAGAGAAGGTACTGCAGCTTATGGGCCTGAGATTGGGGTATGTGAGCCTGAGAAGGGAGTCATACCCTAGGGAACCGTGATGAATTAGTTGTCAAGGAGCTTGGCCCTTCCCATCTCAGGGCTCTTGACTGTGAGCCCAGAGGATCCCTCAGTATGAACAATTTGCCTTCACCCAAGGGGAGGGACAAATCCTTTCAAATCTGGGCAATTAGTCATTGAAATTATTCATAAGAAAAGATTCTTCAAGTCATTTGAAATAATGTTTAATAATTGATAGTAATTTCTGGTGATTAATTAGAAATTAATTCACTCAAGAAAGTCTTTATTTGTGGGCTTTCTGGGGGTTCTCTCTGCTTTTAAATACTTTGGGGTTGGTAATTGAAAGGTTCTTAGCCATTTCACAAACAAATTAATGAGTTAGTTGAGTTACATAATCCTTGGTAAGCACCAGTAAATAACAACAATGCTTCCATTTTCCATGTAGTACAAATTATTAAGTGCAAGATTTCTCTGTGTGTTAGAGAAAGCTCTCCTTCCTTAATTAAGAAATAGAATCAATGGAAGAGGAGAGGGGGTAGTATCCCTTCCAGGCTTCCCCTGCCCTACTAAATATCAGGGCTCCCATTGGCCTGGCCCGCAAAAATCCAAGGTCAACTAAAAGCTTTATGCCTTTCGGGCATCATTTTTCCTATCTGCACAACAGAGATCATAGGATCACAGATTTAGAACTGGAAGGGACTCATAGGCCATTTAGCCTAAGTCCCTAATTTTACAGATGAGAAAACTGAGTCAAATAGAGGTTAAGTGACTTGCCCAAAGTCACAAAACTGATAAGTTACAGAGGCAAGATTACAACCCAGGTCCTCTGTCTCCTGGCCAAGTGCTGTTGTTGTCTTCTTTCTGCAGTCCTGACTCTGATGCATCCTTGGGGCACGGAGGTGACCCTGGTTTCTCAAGGACAGTGGCATCAGCACATGAATTCTGGCAGATCCTACCAGCTGGCAAGGCATCAAGCTTGGGTCCAGTGATAGCATGTACATCTGTCATCTAAGGGTCAGGCTATCTAGGCTTGGAAAGGCTCATCACCATAAGGTTGGTCACCAGGTGATAAATTTTCTCAACCATAGTAATTCATGAACTCTTCTACTAAGGGATTACAGCCTTCATTAGTAGAGGAAGAATTGCCCCAAATAAATTCATTGATTCTTGAAAAATCAAAGTAAACATTTTTTAAAAAAATAAGGTAAAAAAAATCTGGCTGATGACATTGATTAGTTGTTCATATCCACAAGGTTCTTAGAGATCTTATAACAAAATTAGCTCTATAACAGTGAAATCTCTCTCTCTCTCTCTCTCTCTCTCTCTCTCTCTCTCTCTCTCTCTCTCTCTCTCTCTCTCTCTCTCTCTTTTCCTCTCCTTCCCTCCCTCCCTCTGTCTCTCTCTTTTGGCTAATTTCATTTGTTTTGAAGGTATTTGGCTTCTCCTGCATTAACAACAGTTAATATTTATGTCCAACGTACTGTGTTCCAGGCACTTTGCTAAGCGCTTTAAAAACATTATTTCATTTGATCCTCACAACAACCCTGGGAAATAGGTGCTACTATTATTCCCATTTTACATATGAGAAAACTGAGGCAAAAATGATTTGCACACAGCTAGGAAGTGTCTGAGGCAGGATTTAAACTCAGGTCTTCCTGACTTCAGGCTGTGCCACCTAGCTGCTCCTATATGAACTTAGGCCATTTCATGTAGCCATCTCTAATACGAACAATTACTCTCTGCTGGTGTCTTTGCTGGATCCTTCAAGGTGAAGTCTTAAAAATATGATCTCACGATTCTAAGAGAAACCAATCAGGTTGAAGGTTCTATCTTTTCCCAAAAGCTATGGCTCATATTACTTTCTAGCCAGACTGGCCAACTTTCTGTTTCCAGGCTCAGCGTGCTACCTCCCACCCCTAGCTTTTACATAGCATGTCCCCTATGCCTAGAATGCATTCCTTCCTTACCTATACTTAGAATCCTAAGCTTCCTTCAAGGTTCAACCTGGGTGCCACCTCCTACAGGAAGCCTTCCCTTATCCTCCTAATTATTAGTGTTTTCTCCATCCTCAAATCATCTTGTACATGTTGTATCCCCCTAATAAATAAAATCTTGAGGGCGACCACCATTTTTCATTCTGTCTTTCTATCCCCAGTACCAACCACATTACCTTCTACATAGTAGGTGCCTAAAAAATTTTTTGAATGGAGTAGAATTGAAGACAACCCCAAACCTAGTTAATAGTCATTTGTTGAACATCATGGACTACAGATCTGGAAGAGACCTAGAGGTCATCTCCTGTGGGTTACCACCCACAATTTAAGAAGCGTTGAAGAAGTCGTGAGTGGAAAAAGTATAAGAAACCCTGAAATCCAACCCCCTTCATTTTATAGAGGCCTAAGGAAAAAAAGCAGAATTGCTCCAAACAATAAAAACAATGCCTAGGCCTTCTTGACCATGACCGCTGAAATATTGTAGAATAGAAAGGAGCATTCAGCACCCTCTGAAAGTTGACTGTGCAGTTTCTTTCGATGGCAAGTCCTTGAAATTTTCAAAAAGTACAAGGTGCCTCCACAGGCCATTGAGCAAGTTGACCAGTTGCCATCTGAGGTAGATACAAGAGTTGGCAACACACTTTTTCCTCTTCAACTTGAAGACGAAGCTATCCAGTCCATGTTCCCCTCCAATTTACCACAGAAGCAAATGGGATAAAATAAAAGATACACACTAATTAAAAGGAAAAGAAGAATTGAACTCTGACTTCCTAGTCCTATAATCAGGACCCTACCCAGTGTCACTCCTTGTCAAAGATGCCTGAGCCTAGGATAACTCAAGGATCTGCCATCTTTTCTGAAGAGTGGTGTGCCAAGGTTCCACCCTAATCAATTCTAGTATGCTAGAGGGGCACACTGACTTGGCAGCTTCCTCTTCAGATTGGAGAAGAAAATGTGAGTCACCAACTATCACGGCAGGTGGCAGCTGTCACATCTGCCATAGGTGTCAGAGTAAGGGCCCAGCTGTGGCAGACAGCCCACCTGCCAAAGAAAATTGGTCCTTGGGTCATCTTTAGCACACCTGCCATAGTAGCCAACCTCTGCCCCAAACCCATTAGCCAAGATTACCTCCAAGGGGTTGGCATGCAGCTGTCTACCTTGTTTGCTGAAGAGTGGCTAGTTATCAGACAAAGAAGGGGAAGGTACATAATGGGAGAGGGTGGGAAGGAAGAGAAAATGCAGCACTGAGGCAATAGTCGGCAAGAGAGGGCTACCTTAGGGAGATGGGATAAAAGAAGGAGAACCTTTTCTGTCACTTACATATGTGGCTTTGTTTTTCCAGGAAGCAAATCTTGAAGTTCCTAGATGCCGAAAAAGACATATCAGTGCTCAAGGGGACCCTGAAGCCTGGAGACATCATCCACTATATCTTTGACCGAGCTAGCACCATGAATGTGTCACAGAACCTGTATGAACTCCTGCCCAGAACTTCTCCCCTGAAGAACAAACACTTCAGGACCTGTGCCATCGTGGGCAACTCCGGGATTCTGCTGAACAGTGGCTGTGGGCGGGAGATAGACACTCACAGCTTTGTTATAAGGTAATTCCCCAAGGGGTAACTCATGCTTGAAGCTGGCTGGGCAGATACACCGAGAGCTGTCAGATGAGTAGAGTAGAAGTAGAACTGATGCCTTTTGGTTTAATCAGTCCATCTGTCTGTCTGTCAACAAATATTTATTAAGCACTTTTTATGTGCCAGGCACTGTACTGAGCACTAGGGATATGAAGGCAGGCTAAATTGTGATGTCCCTGCCCTCGGGGAAGTCCCATTCTAATAGGGGAGCCAACATCTATGAACATACAAGACAAAAGAGAGAATAGATCATGGGCTCATAGAGTTAGGGTTCAAAGGAAATGTAGAAACCAGCAAACATAACCTCCTCATTTTACAGATGAGAAAACTGAGGCTGTCCTTCTGGGGAATAATGTACATAAGGATTTCAAAGCATTGGAATGATGTAAAATGCAGTGGACTCTATATTATTTGCAGCAGTTACATTTGTGCGAGAATCTGTGATTTCTTAGGTGTAAAGAGTTCATGGCGTGAAAATCCCTCTGCTAGTGACAATTTAGGTCTAACTAATAGTCTTAGAGAGTTACCTAGAGAACTGAGATGTTAAATAACTTATCCGTGGTCACACAGCCTGGGGTCCATTCAAAGACAGGTCTTGAACCCAGTTCCTCTTGATTTTTAGGCTGGCCCTTTCTCTTCTGCCTAAGATCATAGCACTGTAGATTTAGAACTAGAATGACACTTGCAGTCAACTGATTCAACCCCTTCATTTTACAGATGAAGAAATCAAGGCACAGTGAATCTAAGTGACTTAGCTAAGGTCACACATTAAGTGGTAGAGCTAGGATTCAAACCCACATTCTGTAGCTCCAAGTCTTAGAGTTTTTTCCATGTAATATGATACCTCTCAGTTTACCCATTTGGGCAAAATCAAATATAAGGATTTTGACTCTGCAGCCAGTCAATAAATATTTACTAAGTACCTTCTATGTGCCAGGCACTGTACAATGCTCTGAAGATACAAAAAGAGGCAAAAGACAGTTCTTACCCTCAAGGAGCTCACAATCTAATGGTGGAGACAATGAGCAAACAAATACGTGCAGACAAACTATACTCAGGATAAATAAGAAATAATTAAGAGAGACAAGACACTGGGGAAAAGGAAGGAATAAGCATCCATATAGCACTTCCTGTGTGCCAGGCACTTTGCTAAGCATTACAAATATTGCCTCATTTGATCCTCACAGCAGTCCTTCAAGGAAGGTGTTATTATTATTATTCACTCTTACAGTTGAGAAAACTGAGGCAAAGAGAGGTAAAGTGACTTTCTTAGGGTCACACAGCTAGTAACTGTCTGAGGTCAAATTTGACTCCAGGCCCAGTACTCTATCCACTATGCCACTTGCTGTCCAGAATTCTAGGCACCAAAATTAAGAGAGGTTGGGAAAAGCTTCCTGTAGAAGATGGGATTTTAGTTGAGACTTAAAGGAAGCCGGGGAAGGCAATAGGCAGAGATCCAACATCCTTTCCCCTCCACCATTGTTCCCATATTTCACCAGCATGGGCCTTTGAAAATAGTCATCTCACTCAAAACAGAACATCCATCCTGGTGCCTTAGAGACATTATGGGGACAGGCGTCTATGTTATTCCCCAGGTGGAGCAAGGTCATGGAAATCCTGGATGTTTCATTCCACACAAGTCACCACCCATGGAAAATTTCCATGGGGCCATCTCAGATTTCCTGGGCCTAGAGAGCCTCCATTCCTGTCTCAATACTGCCATATTGAGATTTCAATTTTGGGATATGGAAAGAAAAGAAATTGTCTTTCAAGGGTTTGGATGAGTTTGGGGAAATATCGAGTCTGAATCATAGGATAGCCGATATAATTTCCAATGAATTTTTTAAAAAGCATTTATTAAGTTCCCATTATGTGCCAGCACTGTGCTAAGCATTTTATAAATATTATCTCATTTAATCCTCACAATAACCCTGGGAGGTAAGTGCTATTATCATCCCCATTTTTACAGATGGGAGAACTGAAAGAGACAGGATCTTTCCCAGAGTCACACAACTAGTGTGAGATTAGATTTGAACTCAAGTCTTCTGGCTCCAGATCCAATGTTCTATCTAAGTCACCTGGCTGCTTACAAGCATTTATTAAGAGCCTGTGCCAGGTACCAGAGAGGTATAAACAAAACTCAAAACAAAGTCACTGAACTCTAAGAGCTTGCATTTTATGGCGATTAAAATCAATGTTCTCTTGATCACAATTTGATATATCTTGCAGAGTGCCCAGCAGAAAATGGCAGAAAGCTAGGAGAATAAAAGGGGGGATTTAAGATTTCTAATAAATCAAGTTATGTCAATTCCACATAGCTGCCATAGTGATTTTCCTAAAATTTATGTCAATCCCCTGCTCTATAAATTCCTCTGGATCCCCTTTTGACTCTAGGAGCAAATATAAACTCCTCTGCTTGCCATTTAAAGCCTTTCAAAATGACCTGATACCATCCTACCTTTCTAGACTTCCTTTATAATATGCCCTTCTCAGTCCAGCCAGACTGACCTTCTTGCTGCTCCTCATATCTCCATCTCCACACCTGCACTGGCTGTCCTTCACTCTTGGAATTCACACCCTTCTCACCATCCCACCCCCACTTCTTAGAATCCCTTGTTCTCTTTAAAACTCAGCTCAAAGCATCACCTTCTACCCAACACCTTTCCTGATCCCCCCCCAACCCTTGGATTCCTCCCTCCCAAAAGTATCTGAATTTATTTTGCATAGATTTTTACATGTTTGTTTGTACATACATCTCCCCCAGTAGAGAAGAGGGGCTATTTCATTTTCAGCATTGTATCTCCAGTGCCTGGCATAGTGAAGGCACAGAGTAGGCACTTGAAAAATGCTCATTAATTAATTGATTTAGCTAAATTAAAATGGAGGGAAATAGCTGGAAATAGGAATTAGCATTGAAATAGCAGATAAGCCAAGGATGATGTAATAGGAAGAATGCTGGTTTGAGAGTCAGTTACCCTAGTCTGAATCCTCGATCCACCATTTACTACTAGTCATGTGATATTGGACAAGTCGCTAGACCTCTCGAGACCTCATTTTTCTCAGTGTAAAATAAGGGGACTAGATGGCTTTTAAGGTCCCTTCTAGTTCTAGAACTACGATGCTGTCAAAAATAATAGTTATTATTTTGGTGTGGCACATTTAGATTTACAAAGTGCAGGTATTATAATCTTTGTTTTTCAGCCGAGGAAACTGAGGCTGTGAAAGGAGAAATGACTTGCTAGTAATTGGCAGGACTCAAACCCATGTCTTTGAATAGTCATCTAGTGTTCCTTGCCTCACCCGGTATAGTCAGATGTGACAAAGAACTGTCTGGCAGTAGTTCCCATGGAACACAGAGACTGTGGTACATGTATAGATACCACAGTTCCACTTCACACACACACATAATGTCATTTTAATATTTCATAAGTATTAACATGTGTGATGCTCAATAAGGCTTGCACCCAAATTGCAAACCCTGGTCAAGACTTTCCAGGTCACCCATGGTCTCACCATTCTCTATCCACATGCACGTATATGAAAGGCAGTGTGGTCTAGTGATAAGAACCCTGGAAAGTCAGGAAACCTAAAGTCTAATGGAAAGCTATCACTAACTTTGATACATAGAGACTGCAGTACATTCTATATTTCTACTTCACACATTCAAATGTAATTTCTTCTTAATATATGTTGCTTATTAATATTGTATGGTGTTCATGCAATGAGGATATATAGGAGAGACTATGACAGGGGGATTAGAGGGTATAAGAGATAGTGTCTAAACACACTACAATACAAATATGTTCTTAGGGAATAATGTGTGTGTATAAGAGGGGGGTGTTTGTGTGTTTATATGTGTGTGTGTGTGTGTGTATATGAAAGGTGTGTATGTGTGTGTGAGGGGTGTGTGTGTGTATGTGTGTATGTATATGTCTATGTGTATGAGAGGTGTGGGGGGTGTATGTATGTGTAAGAGAGGTGGGTGTGTGTGTATGAGAGGTCTGTATGTGTATGAGAGGTGTGCGGGTGGGTAGGTGTGTGGGTGTGGGGGTATATGTGTGTAGGTACTTAGACAGGAAAGGAGTCCAGATACCAGTGTACTGCTCAAAGAGAAAGCCAATCTTTTATCTTTAAAGTCCATGCCTAGCAGGTGCCCATGGATTTGTGTGTATCCAGGGCTGATTTATGTGTGTGCTCAAAGATCTGCAAGTCTATTATGGAGACATCCCAGCCATTGTAAGAGACACAGGTGAAAACCAAGGATGACAACCGTATGACTTCTGCCCTTGGATTAAAAAAGGCTGAACCGATCTCCCAACCAGCAGGGTGAGGTCGGTCATTTTGCGTTGCTTCATTCCCCTCACTCCTTTGCCACCTGACTGGAGGCGCTTAATAATCAAAATCCCACACTTATAGAGAAGCACAAATCCATGATCATAATAGCAGCTCTTGTTTACTTAGCAACTCACCATTTACAAAGCAATTTCCTCCCAACAACTCTTTGAGATTGTAAAGAGGGTACCTGTATCCCCATTTTACAGATGAGGAAACTGAGGTTCAGAAGTATGAAATAGTTTGGCTAGAGTCACACAGTCAGAGGAATTTTCTGTTAGACCCTTGCTCTTCCTATCGGACTATTCTGATCCATCCTAATTCCAATACCACTGAAGGGTACTTACTTGGAGCAGAGATTTGTCAGAAATAAAAGTTCGCCTTTGAACTCTTTGGTCCACTATGGCAAGAATGAGACCACCACATAGGAGCCCACAAGTGGCTGATTTTCTCCCTATTTGCTATTTATTAAGTATATACTATGGGCAAAATACTGTGCTAGGTATCAATATTGTTCTCAACTAGTTCTTGTTGGCCTTCCCTTAACCCCGTGCCCATATTATCTTCAATCAATAATCATTTATTAAGTATGTTCTTCTATGTGCCAAGCACTGTGCTTGGCATCCCATCACAGC